TGCAGCGTGGTCTTAGGTGACCCCTGTGAAAGAGTCGTTCAACCACCAAAGTGGTCGCGACCCACAGGTTGAGAACCGCTGCTCTAATTGATGTTTCTCTTTCTCTCTTTCCCCTCTCCCTTTCTCTCTCCATTCCACTCTCTTTAGAAATCAATGGAAAAAATATCCTCAGTTGAGGATTTAAAAAAAAAGTGTGAACTTTAGACATGCTACTTAGCCATATCCTTAACATTTTTGAAATTAGCACAGGTGACCAAGAGAAAAAAGAAGAAATGACACAGGATTCTAACAAATGATGAATTACTGTATGATCCTGAAAAAGATAACAGAGATCAGGCCTGGGTTGATGCACGGAGAAGAGGGTAAGAACTTAAATTTAATATTTAGAATCTTTAGAGAAAATGATTAAAAGATAATCTCACTATATTCACATTTTGAATGTATATGTATGCTTATATAGATGTACATAAAGAAATTTGAGAACAAACTGCTGAATACTTGATTTTGAAAATAAAGCAAATTTCAGTCAGAAAGTTGATTTTTAAAAAAAATATACATTTTATTGATTTTTTTACAGAGAGGAAGGGAGAGGGATAGAGAGTTAGAAACATCCATGAGAGAGAAACATGGATCATCTACCTCCTGCATACTCCCTACTGGGGATGTGCCTGCAATCAAGGTATATGCCCTTCACCGGAATCGAACCTGGGACTCTTCAGTCCACAGGCCGACTCTAGCCACTGAGCCAAACTGGTCAGCGCAGAAAGTTGATTTTTAAAAGAACTTTTGAATTCAAACTGTTCTAGTCAGTCTCTTCATTCAAGAACCAAAAATGGCCCTGGCTGGCTTGGCTCGGTGGATAGAGCGTTGGCCTGCAGACTGAAGGGTCGTGGGTTTGATTCCGATCAAGGGCATGTGCCTGGGTTGTGGGCTTGATCTCCAGTGTGGGGGGCATGCTGGAGGCAGCTGATCAGTGATTCTCTCTCATCATTGATGTTTCTATCTCCCTTTCCCTCTCCTTTCTTCTCTGAAATAAAAAAATATATATTAAAAAAGAAAGAACCAAAATGAATAAATATATAGACACAATTTAAATCTACTGTGGTTTTTGGAAGGAAGTCACTACGTGCAGCCCAGACTTAAGGAGTAGTGAGTTATGAGGGAGAGTATCTTCATAAGTTATTTGTAATTCTTCTGTATGGGAGATTTGTCTGTTCTTCCTCATTTATGTATTCAGTCATTTACATCAGCATGGACTCACGAAAACTTATACTTTGGGTTAAAATCCAATACTACTTTTTTTTTTAATCTAATTGCTTTAGTTTTGGCCATTGGGAGTGCTTTCAGTTGGCTCCTGTGCTCCTTAGACATACCTACTGCATTGAGTTTTTCTTTTCTTTTCTTTTTTTTTAATGCTAACTTTTTTTTTTAATTGCTTAAAGTATGACTAAGGGTATTACATATGTGTCCATTTTTTCCCCCCGCCCTAGACAGTCCCCTAGCCTCCCCTATTCCCCCGTGTCTTATGTCCATTGGTCTTTTCTTTTTTAAAAAAAATATATTTTTATTGATTTCAAGAGGAAGGGAGAGGGAGTGAGATATAGAAACATCAATGATGAGAGATGCTCATTGATCGGCGGCCTCCTGCATGCCCCACACTAGGGATCAAGCCCAAAATCCAGGCACATGCCCTGACTGGGAATCAAACCATGACCTCCTGGTTCATAGGTTGACTCTCAGCCACAGAGCCAGGCTGGCTGGGCGGATTTTTCTTTTTTTTTCTTAGCACTTCCTTACTTTCTGGCACTACAAGATGCTTCAGGTTCATCTTGTATGCCCCATTCCTAGAATTAACCAATTTTCTGAGGAATACTGATTACTTTTATTGGAGAGTAGCATTAGAAATCAAGTTCTGGTTTTAATGTGTCTTCCCTCTACTTTCATTTTCTGTTCAAGATACCATGGTTTTGGAATACAGAGGCCACGCCAACAACAACAGCCTGTTCCAAATAGTGATGCCGTCTTGAATTGCCCTGCCTGCATGACCACACTGTGTCTTGATTGTCAAAGGTAACAGATAAAGGCTAACAATATGCACATATGCACAAAACAATAAGAACAAAACTTGGTGGGTCTTTTTAAAAATCTGAAGTAGACTTTTGAGGTAGTTAGGAATTCTGGGCTTGTGCCCTTGACCATAATCAAACCCGGGACCCTTCAGTCTGTAGGCTGATGTTCTATCCACTGAGCCAAACCAGCTAAGGCTGTTCTTTTACTATTGAGTTGTATGAGTTCCTTGTATATTTTTACTATAACCCCTTATCAGATAATATATGACTTGCAAATATTTTCTCCTATTTTGTAGGTTATCTTTTTATTTTGTTGATTGTTTCTTTGCTATGCAGAAGCTTTTTAGTTTTATGTAGCCTGCTTGTTTATTTTCGCTTTTATTGCTTGTGCTTTTGCTGTTATATTAAAAAAACATTTCCGCCCTGACTGGTTTGGCTCAGTGGATAGGGCATCAGCTTGTGGACTCAAGGGTCCCGGGTTTAATTCCGGTCAAGGGCGTGTACCTTGGTTGCGGGCACATCCCCAGCAGGGGATGTGCAGGAAGCAGCTGATCAATGTTTCTCTCTCATCGATGTTTCTGATTCTCTATCCTTCTCCCTTCCTCTCTGTAAAAAATCAATAAAATATATTAAAAAAACAAACAAACAAACACAAAAAAACATTTCCAAGATAAAGGTTAAGGAGCTTTTCCGATTTTCTTCTAGGACAGTGGTTCTCAACCTTCTGACCCTTTAAAGACAGTTCCTCATGTTGTGACCCAACCATAAAATTATTTTCGTTGCTACTTCATAACTGTAATGTTGCTACTGTTATGAATCGTAATGTAAATATCCGATATGCAGGATGGTCTTAGGCGACCTCTGTGAAAGGGTCGTTCGACGACCAAAGGAGTCGTGACCCACAGGTTGTGAACCGCTGTTCTAGGAGTTTTACAATTTCAGGCCTTATATTTAAGTCTTTAATCCATTTAAAATTAATTTTTGTGAGTGGTGTATAATAGCGGTACAGTTTTATTCATTTGCATGTGAACATTCACTTTTTCCAATAGTGTTTATTGAAGAGACTTATATTTTCCATATTGAATATTCTCGGCTTCCTTGTCAAATATTGGTTATATATTGTGGCTTTATTTCTGGGCTCTCACTTGATTCTGTTCTGTTGATCTATGGATCTATTTTTATGCCATTCCCATACTGTTTATGCCATTTCTATACTCTAGCTTTGAAATTAGGAAGTGTGATGCTTCCAGCTTTGCTCTTTTTTAAAAAAAATATTTTTATTGATTTCAGGGAGGAAAGGAGAAGGAGAGAGAGATAGAAACATCAGTGATGAGAGAGAATCATTGTTTGGCTGCCTACTGCATGCCCTCTCCTGGGGATTGAGCCACAACCTAGTCGTGTGCCATTGACCAGAATCTAACCTGGGACCTTTCAGTCTGCAGGCCAACGCTCTATCCATTTAGCCAAACCGGCTAGGGCCAGCTTTGTTCTTCTTTTTCAAGATGACTTTGACAATTCAGAGTCTTTCGTGGTTCCATATAAATTTTAGGATGGTTTTTTCTGTTACTGTGAAAAACGCCATTGGAATTTTGATAGGGATTGCATTGAACCTATAGATGGCTTTGGGTAGTATGGATATTTTAACAATATTAATTCTTTCAATCTCTGAACACAGGATATCTTTCAATTTATTTGTGTTTTTTTTTCAATTTCTTTCATCAATGTCTTAGAGTTTTCAGTGTATAGATTTTTTCACCTCCTTGGTTAAATTTATTCCTAAGTATTTTGTTATTTTTGATGCTATTATTGTGAATAGGATTGTTTTCTTAATTTTTTTTTCAGATAGTTGTTAGTATATAGAAACACAACAGAGTTTTGTATATTAATTTTGTATTCTGCAACTTTACTGAATTTGTTTATTCTAATGTTTTTTTTAATGGAGTCTTTAGGGTTTTTTTATATATATATGATTATGTCATCTGCAAACAGAGACAATTTCACTTCTTCCTTTCTTTTTTTTTAAAATATATTTTATTGATTTTTTACAGAGAGGAAGGGAGAGAGAGAGAGAGAGAGAGAGAGAGAGAGAGAAGGAAAGAGCGGAATAGCCAAAACCTGGAAGCAATCAGGGGGCTGCCTCCTGCACATCTCCCACTGGGGATGTGCCCGCAACCCAGGCACATGCCCTTGACCGGAATCGAACCCGGGACCCTTCAGTCCACAGGGCGACACTCTATCCACTGAGCCAAACCAGTTTCGGCACTTCTTCCTTTCTTATTTGGATACCTTTTATTTCTTTTTCTTGCCTGATTGCTCTGGCTTGGACTTTCACTACTATGTTGGTTAGGAGTGGTGACAGTGTCCACTCTTACCTTGTTTTCCATTTTAATTATTATTAACTACAATCACAATATTGTGCAGCTATCACCACTATTTATTTCCAGAAGATTTTCGTCATTCCAAACAGAAACTGTGTAGCCATTAAACAATAATTTCCCATTCTTCACCCGCCCTACCCCAGCCTCTGATAATCTCTGTTTTACTTTCCTTTTGGGATTGTTCATTGCTGGTGTGCAGAAATGCAGCAAACTTTTGCATGTTGATTTTGTACCCTACAGCTCTGCTGACTTAGTTTATTAGCACTTATACTTTTTCCGTGTAATCTAGAGTTTTCTACATATAAGATCATGTCATCTGTGAACAAAGATAACTTTACGTCTTCCTTTGTATACCTTTTATTTTATTTTTCTTACCAAATTGCTCTGATTATAATTTCCAATACTATGTTGAATAGAAGTGGTGGAAGCAGGTATTTCTGTCTTTTTTCTGATCTTAGAGGAAAAGTTTTCAGTCTTTCATCAGTGAGTATGATGCTAGTTATGGGTTTTTCATACGTGGTATTTATTTTATTGAGGACATTTTCTTCTAATCCTAGCTTGTTGGGTATTTTATTTTATTTATTGTTTTATAATCCTCACCTGAGGATATTTTTTCCATTTGATTTTCAGTCAGAGTGGAAGAGAGGGGAGAGAGAGAGCAACATTGATGTGAGAGAGACACGTTGATTGGTTGCCTCCTGCACACGCCCTGACCTGGCCGGAACCCACAACCAAGATATATGCCCTTGTTGGAGAATTGAATCCTCGACCCTTTGGTCTGTGGGCCAACTCTCTAACAACTGAGCCAAATTGGCCAGGGCTTATTGGGTGTTTTTATCATGAAAGCATGTTGAATTTTATCAAATTTTCTGCATCATTTGAGATGATTAAGTTTTGTCCGTCCCCCCCCCCTTCATTCTATTAATCAAAAT